ATGAATCGAATTACATCGCACTTTTGCACTTCGCGATTAAACTTACCAGCCGCAGCGTACATTCATTTAATATAATATTAACAACAAAATAAACGAACAACTATTTTTCATCGCAAAACGAAGTGTACTAAAGACAAAAAAAAAAAATGAACAAATCAAATACCAAGAAAGTAAAACGCAAGCGATAATTAACGCGCAGATCTGTGATAATCAGGTAGAAAATTGTAACAGCCGTTACTTGCACATTCGCGTAACCATAAATGGAATTTCAATTAATTAACCTCTCTCAAATGTTTCTCCGGCGTTGCCTCTTACTTTGTAGCGTTATTTGAAACTAAGAGAACCGTGACAAATGAAACGTGTACACGTCGGCTGATAATTCCGTGATTTAGAAACAGCTGCGTCTAAGGAGAGAAGAGGCCGCTGTCGTTCGGGCTTAAATATCCTTAACGAACCGGCGAATTTAATTCAATAATCAGAATTGACGCGGAACAACCCGCGTGCTAATTGACATCGCATGCAGAATCGAACTCGGTTGCAAACGTGTGTATACGTGGCGTGTTAGAACGGCGCGGCCGCCATTTACCGGCGAATAATTCTTGGCCTTAATTAGAAAAAGCGCGTTTCTCGATTACAACGTTAAACGCAAATCTCGCCGTGAACTAGAGTTTTGCAATTAATACACAGTGAAATTGTGAAAGTCGATCGAATGTACTTCGATACGTAAAATCTAAGCGAAAAAGGATCTTTGCTTTTCTTCTTCGTGTAAAAACGGCAAAGGTATTTCTGTGATTAAATTTGCATACGAAATATGCGCTGTGCATTTCTTGATGAACATGAATTTTTAGCGAATTCCTGCGAAAGTAATTTCAATAGTAATTAAGGGAAGTAGTTCCCGAACAATTTATATTTTGCGTGGCATTTTGAAAATGAACAATTGAGTAACAAACGCTGGGAAGGTACGACAAAATTTTTTAAATTTCATAAATAGTACAGATCTACTTTGAATAAATTTCACCGATATTTGAATAAAATTAACGCGCTCGACGTAATTAACACAAGCTTCGATAGCTATTTTAATAATAGCTCTCTTGAAGTTTGAAAAATTGTATAAACACACTGTGAATAATATTTTAATAAGATCAATTTGCTCGATATGTAATAATTACCAGCTGGTAATTCGATAAAAAGATTTGCCAATAGGTCAAGCAATTTGAATTTCTAATCCGGAGCGTAGAATGTTTTATATAGCCCAAGCAATTTCTAGCCTGGATAGAGTTTCGTTCCGCTAGAAATGTACATCTAATCACGCCCACCTTTAAAATACATAAGAAATTAAACGTAACGTATCATAAGGAAATGATGTCCATAAATAAACCTGGTCGGTAATTATTCTTCTGTAATATAAGCTTCCTAGAAAAATTTTCATGTATATTTGCAACAGCAAATTATCAGGTACCGCACAATTTAAAAATTAATAATAATCCACTATATATTCCATTTTTTAAATATACAATAAATGTGTTATAGGAAATTGTAGTAAACATGTGACAGCAATTTGTTTCGTTACAACGCTACGAGAATTTCTAATATTATGATTGGTGGATAGAATTCCTCTTGAAATTTCTTGGATACAGTTAAATGTACGAAGGGGCTCGAAATAGTCGGAATTTTCTCCGTTGCCTCTATTATTAAATTCTGAATCACTTGACCGTACGGCGAGAATAACTACAATGGTTCATGTTCTCGTACGGATGGCCATTAAGGTACATTCGGTTCCAGTACTGTGCAAAACGAAATTGCGAAATTTTCGCGAACGTTGAAAATGTGCTCCGAAGAAATTTTTGCTGGCCGTTAAAGGGTCATTCCTGTGTGACTCTTTCGAAAATTAGACTTTTTCTCTTGCATTTCTCGAAAGTACACGTAGTCGAGAAGGTACTGTTAAATTTTGGTAAAGAAATTTCGAGTATTTCAACTTTTACAGCTGTTTCTTCTGCGAAGCGCAAATGGTGGACGAAACGAAGAGTTTCTTCTCTTCTTGGCGTTTTAGTATTAATACGCAAAAATATAACGATTAAATTTTCGACGTTGTCGCGAAGAGAAGCAGCTGTAAAGCTGGTAAAAAAGGAAAAGATGAAGAAAATATGGATAAATTTGAGACGATGACAAAATTTTGGACATCGTCGCGAAGAGAAGCGCCTGTAAAACTCGCAAAAAATGAAAATACGGGTGAATTTGAGACGTGATTCGAGAAGAGTGCGCCGGAAACCACAAACGGCAGGGCTTGCAAGATGGAGGTGTGCTCTAAATGTCTCAAACCTCCGAAGAGGAGCGCGGTGTCAAATATGCGATCCCGAATTACTCGATAAGCTAAATTAATCAGTGAAAGTAGTGATAGTAAACAAACTAAAATAATCCACGAGATAAAGGTTATACTGGATGTACGAGTAATTGCACCAAGTTCGATTACGACAAACGATTGCATTCGGCAAGAAACATCGGGGAATATGAGAAAATATCAAAGCAATAATTCAGAGTAGATTGCGAAAGGCTATCTCTCTAGACAGAAATAGTATTCGAAGTTGTATAAATGTACGTTCCCTTAATTGACGCAATTAATTTGAAACTTTTGAATGACCGAACGTCACAACAGACAATGCGATTCGTGTTTCGAGCGCGATAACGTTATCAACGGAGGTTTATTCTAACAATAAGTAGCGAAACCCGCGGAAACGTGTGATTTTTAAGACTGTTCCACAGTGGCGCGTCTCCAACGAGAATTTCTAAAGGAAGATACAAGTCTTTGTTGTTTACCGAGGAAGAAACGAAACAACATTGGTGACGTTGCTTTATCTGCGATCGGTTGCAATGGCAATTGAACAAAGGAGAAATCCGTAAATGAACGCTGAAAAAGAGCAAACTTAACGCGCCTCTAACTGTATTATTGCTAAAGAGCCTCTTGACAAACTCTCGATCCGAGACAAAGAGCTTCTTCTGATTTGTGTATCTTGCCTAATTATAGCCGAAGAATGCGCACGTTAACGGACGATTTTATTTAACCCTCTCGGAAATCAGCTTCGATTGTTAATCTCTCCTCTTCCCAGTGTATGCCTCTCCTATCTATCTTCTTCGTGTAACTCGAAAACTGAATCTCATCGACGCGAGAGACGGTTGCTCGCGCGCGACATGAAACTTGACGAAGAAGAAGAAGAAAGGAAGAAAGAGAAGGAGAGTGTCTGTAACGATGCAACAACACGTCGCGTCTCGAATCGTGGAAACTAAACATCCATAAAAAAAGAAACTTTATTTATTCGTAATCGAGCAGAGACCGACTCCCAAACGATAACGCACGATAAGTAGCCAAAAAAATACGCTGCGGTATCGGGCATATTTATTCGAACGATAGTGAATCCTGACTTCGCTCCCGTCGTACGATTATTATTGTTCGAGACGATTTTATTTTTTGTAAACAGTAAATGAATCGTCTTCTCTCGGGTATTAACGTGCAATAAAGTCGAGAAACGTTCGGAATTTATCGAACAATATTTAGATAGTCGTAATTGCGATTATGTTTGCTGGAATACTTGTACGGAGTTAGTGGGAATTTGTTGCTTGCGGAATTTCTTCTTTTTTCTTTTTTCGTTAACGTTTTTGAGGACGAAAGATATTTTTTTTTTTTACTATTTTTTTAGGAACTAATGACAATGTAGGTGGAATATCGCGCTAATAGCACGTCGAACATATACATTACGAGCAGCCGCGAACTAGCACTAGTTCAATGGACATTACAGTTAAGTTTAACGCACCATGACACGTTTCCGTTTAAATTTGTACAGTTAAAAAGCTGTATAATGCAACTCAAAACAGATGCGAATTACTAGAGTATCGAATTACTAGATCGTCAATTATATTTCACAGTGTTCGCTATATTACACTTAATTGACTGACGATGTTTCTTAGAATTTTTTGTTATTTCTTTAAATGCACGCATAGAATAATCCTTTGGTATACGAAGAGCATTACAGGTTCAAAATGTGCAAATTGTGTGAAAGGTTTGACAAAGGGTGTTGTTAACACCTAAATTACTTTTTCTTACATTTAGTATTTAACAAACCGAAACAACACTGCAACCTACTTCCCCTATATTTGACAACTCGTATTGCATAATTTATAAATAACAGAAAAATTTCGAACGAATTAATGAAATTGACTAAAATTCGTTCACTCTACAATCGTTTCCAGGTAAAACTAGAATACCCATACAGCACTGCAATTTACATAGAAAACGCGAGCTTGAATGCATCAGCATGCTTCTACGCATCCTTGAGAGAGAGAGCAGTCGCGGCGCTAAGCGCGACAAAACTGAGGCACTAACCCAAGCCTTTACCGTTCCAGTGAACTATATAAACCTTTCCACCTTAATACCTACGTCTCGAACGTAATCTTTACTTTCCCCGGCGCATAAATCGCGGCGAACAGCCGGGAATCAACCCTAACCTACTTCGAGTCAGGTATTCGCGTTAGAATCGGCCAGCGGGTGGAGTGGTGGGAGTAGCGTGAACCGTGTCGACGGATTCGCGCGTCACAACAAAAGCGAAAATGCCACGAGAGTTCTCTCGAGTTGCCGCGCGGCGAGGTCGTTGATGGCGAGCGTCGAATCCGCAGTGTCGGAGTTGATTTTTCGGGGCCTCCACCGGTTCAAGGTGAAAAGGTGGCTCCTGTCGGGCGTGTTATTCTGTTTGGATTCGGGCGAGAGATCGACCGGTGTATCGGTCGGTGCGCGCGGCAGCAGGTGGAAACGCTTCTGAAGCAGAGCCGACGAAGGTAGAAGTGGCGGAGCGCATCGAAGAACTGGTTTGGAGCGGGAGCTCGTGGCGCGGCATGGCGTGGCAGCTGAGGCGGTAGAGTGGGGGTAGCGATCCGTTTCGCGGCGAATGGTGGGGGTAAGCTTGGCAGCGACAAGTGATGGTTTACAGTTATAGTCAGTCCGGATCGGGCGTTCGGTCAGCCTAGACTACTTGTGCCAAGTGTAGCTCGAAAAACCGATCCCGATTTGTCGAGCCGGTATATTAAAGCGACGTCGTTGGCCTCTTCCACGCGCGGTTAGGCCGTGGATCGAAACTAGAGAGGTAGTTTTAGTTGGAGAGTGAAGTGCCCTCGACGTCTGTCTCTACCCTCTGTCGACGTGTTTCTCCTCTACTACCGGCCACTCTCCGTTCTTCGTCGTCTTCTCAAGGGATCAATTCTCACATTCTTCCACGGCCTTCAAGGAGAGATCGCTTCCCTGTGCGGGCTTTGCAACTCTTTTTTTCTCCTCTTGGTGAAACGAACACACACTGGCCCCCCTCTGGTACCCCGTGGAACTTGACGAAATCAAATTGGGCACAATTAACGGTATATACTACACTGGTGTGGAAAGCAAAGACGGAGCAAGATCCGCGCGGACGAAACGACAGCACCGGGAATATGTGTACGTCATCGTCGACGCTCGTGGGTTCATTGTGCACGATTAATTGGATACGGGCGCGCGTATATTGAGTCGTCGTGCTTTTCTCTCTCTGTCTTGACATTTTTATCCAAATCAATTCTTTCCCCCCGGATGCATCTCGAGGAGTCTTGCACGCGTTCTTTACGCTCGGCGTAACGGTCATGAGAGTTTTACGGAGAATCGACTGTTAACTTTCTTCACGTAGACGTGAGGGGGAATCTGACTTCGAATACGGATCAGCGAAATATTTCTTTTTTTTTCTCATTTTTCGATCACCGTTTATCAGACCGTTTATCGATAACCTCTAATCGAGAGTTTCCTTTTTTTTTAATCAGTTTCGACAGAAACCAAGCTAGACGATGTTCCATCGAAGCCGGTTTCTTTCGCGATTTGTTTTGACTTTCGAATCGCGACGACGACTACGACGGTGGCCGCCGCAAGAGAAGCAGCAGCGACTCGACGTCGCGCGTAAGAACGCACGCGGACGAATACGGTCACTCGTACGCGGATGTGACCTCGTAACACACGACGTGAACTTGGAGACGATCGCGATGGAAATGAGAAATGGAAACACGCGGAGATAATCCGCCTCGTGCTTGCCTGCGTGCGTGCGTTTCCGTCGCGTGCTGCATTTTTCTTTTCCTTTCCTCGCCGCTGTCTTCCTACACACACGTCGCGCGCGGCTTTGAACGCTGCTCACCTTCGCTGACTCAACTTGTAAGCGCACCACGAGAGAAACAGGAATTCCCGAATAACAAACGTGTATATATACTATTAATCACGCCGTGTAAAACGTTCATTGTGAGTATTCAAAAAAAAAAAAAGGTTCGCACGAACCAGTTTTCGTGTCGCGGAACGACGTGAAATTCCACACACGTAACTCGCGAAATTTTCGCGTGAATCTTCTCCGTTTCGTTCGAAAATCATCGCGATTTTTCGTGACTCCAAGCATCGATACGCGGAAAGTAATGAGAAAAGTCGGTGATCACGGTGGGAAAGGTAGACGTTACAGTTTCGTACGCTAAGGGAAACAGGAAGTAACGAGTGTGTGCACGGTGAGAAGAGAAAATCTTTCTCTCTGAATTATATTCCCGTTGCTCTAAAGAAATTTCACGCTGATTTTAAACCTTAACGTTAAGAGTCGTTATAAAAGTACAACGTAAGGTATATTGTTGTTTAATCGCTCGGGAGCTACAAGAACCGTCTAGAAAACGCGAATTCTTCTTCTGGATCATCTTCTAAATATAAATGAAAGAAAAGGAGAAGAGAAAAAGAAGAAGAAGATTGTATGAATATGTATGGAGAGACGCAGAAACGATGTTCCGAGCGGATTTTCGGTGTCTGAACATTATTCAGGATGTTACGAGGTGAATTCCATGCCTCGAACGACCCATTCGAAACACTTTAAATCGCGCTCCATCGTTATTAAGCATCTGCGCGTTCCAGACGATTGCGCAATATACGCATCGCTAAAAATACCGGAACGTTTAGTTATACAATAATCCCGCGGATGTTCTACGATAAAAATGGAGTAAAAAAAGGAAGAGAAAAAAGAGTGACAAGAAAGCAACGATGACAGAGAGAAAGGAGGAAAATCTCGGTGGTTGTGCGACTCGTTTCCATCCAGGAAATTCTTCTTCCATTCATGAAACCGAATCGACAATAACAACGCGTGAAACGCTGCTCTCCGCAACGCGTGTTCGCGTCTACGAGAAAATCGAATCGATTCGCACGAAAACTTGATTCGCGCCGGTTTTTAACGCGTACGTTCTCAGGTAAAAAAGAAAAAGAAAGAAGGAAGAATCGAGAGAAATAAAGGACGAGATGTGAAAAAAAGTAAAACCAACTAGCCACGGGATATATTTGATCTCACGAAAATATTCTCTCTGATCCGTTGTTTTTGCACGATTCGAGTTCCGAACTTGAGAACAGCACGACGCGCGTAAATTTTCTGTCTGTTTTCGCATAAAAATATCTTCTCTGGCGGAGATTCGTTGTTACGCCGATGAAAAAAAGAGAAAACAAACTTTAGAGCAGAAGGGGGAAATAGATTCTGGTTTTCTTGTCCGCGTGAAAAACGTGAACATCCCTGAACGTTCGCGGGGAACGTAAGGGAATCGCGAGGAGAGACGACGGGGCAGAATGCGCGACACGCGCGCAACAGGTCTCTTCTGTTCTCTATCTCTGAATTTGATCGAATTTGAAAATCGTTGAATTCACTGTTGTTTCGTTCGCGGTCGAGATACTTAATGCCGTTGGAAGGCTTCTTTTTTCCACTGTCCCGCGGACTATAAGTACGCGCGACTACTTTCTCCCCATCAACCACGAATAATTTCCACGTGTTACGCAGATAGTGCCTTCCTCTGCTGGTAATCGAAGGTAATTTCATCGGACGCCTGAGATCCAGCTGGGAATTCCCCGAAAGAAGCACACGAAGCACCAAGTTATTGATCAACTCTGGCCGAGAGCGACAGACAGAGGAGAGGAGAGGATCGGAGATAATCTAAGTGACGGGATAAAACTTGTGTCGATCGGACTATAAGGAGGAAAGTGTTGTGTGTTGAACTAGCGCCGTTGTCAGATACGTACGAGGACGAGGCATGAATTTTGCGTGATAGAAAGAAAGAAGGAAAGAAAAAAAAACAAACAAATATATATACATAAATAAAAAAACGCGGAATTAAATAGTGCCAATTGGAAACAGTGTCGATTATTATTCGCGTGCACGAAGGATTGATATATAAAAAACAGAAGAAGGTTCGATCTAATTGGATAAAGAAAAACCACCGGGAGAGAACGATCTTTCTAAATCATCCGATAAATCGAAAAACGTCGATTTCCTACGGATTTCGTGTTACCCCTGTTAACCTGCAACCCTTCTTCCATGGATACGCGTCGAAGATAATCGCGCGCACCTCAACCAGGACCGCCGATATCCAAGGTAAATATAGCACCTGTTTCGCTTGCACCTTCCTTCGTTCTGTTTCACCTTTAATGCCCACGCGTTTTCTTCTGATCATGCAGAAATACCGTGCTGCGTGCATTCACCTACGTTTGCATAGCAATGCACATTTTTATACATTGCTACCGCGCGCGCACGCGCCTGCACACACCGGTCGCTTCGTGTCTCTTCTCGATGAAACAGAGAGACAAGAGAAAGAGCGAGAAAGAGAGGGAGTGAGTGAGCGAGTGAGAGACACGGGAATAGGAAAAGAAAGAAAGAGAGAGAGAAACGGCGCGCGTGAGCATGCGTCAGGTTTTCTTTCTGCTCGCGTACACACGGCAAAATGTAAATGACGAATGAAATCGTGATACGACACTATTCGACGACGACGTAGAGAGACAAGGGGCACGTAACAGTTCGCTGTTCCCTCGGAGTTCCGATCAGTTTCACTTTCGACCCCAGCGAGTTGTCGCGACACGACTGTCTTTATTTCGCGATCACCCACAACTCACCCCCCACCCTACCATCCCTCTACTCCCCCTCTTCTCCCCACCCTGTCGATACGTCACGGTATTACAATGAAATATAAAACCGAGATTACCGTATCTGTGCCTATAGATTACGCGAGCACCGCGATAAATGTCGTTCAGTCGAAGGTTATCGGCTCGCCTGGTAATTACTATCGGCCGCTGTTTAATCATTCATTAACCGTGGGTCTCGTGAAAAACGTTGCACACGCGAGAACGTCTCTACGGTGTTCTTCGTTCGGTTGGTTCTTTTCTAAAATTAAGCGCGCCGCCACCGGAGCGAGCGAGTGAACGAGCGAGCTAAACGGCCGAGAGCGGCGTTAGCATATAACTTTCGTTTCACGAGCGAAACACGGTGTTTAGGGGGAACGTTGGCGCGCGCGCGCGCGCGTGTGCACTGTTTTCCGGTTTATCTGACATTTCTCGAAAAATCATTCGCATTCGCCTGACTACGTTTCTCCACGGACAAGTTCTGCTCGACTTTCTCGTGTCCCTCTCGCGGGATTCCACGGCGAATTTTGATCGTTTCGCGGAACGTAGGATTTGTATAGGTTAGAAATCGCGTAAAAATGGGGGCATGTGAGACTTTGCAACGATGTGTATATTTATACGGGAAGAGTGCTTTATTTTTTTTTTATTTTTCGTATTTCTGAAGTGAACACAGTGAAGTTTCTGTAGATGTTTTCGAAAGCTGAAGGCCGAATTGAACGTACTACTTGTCGGAGCAAAGAGAATGCCTTGACGAGTACAGGTAGAAATATAAATATTTCGTCTTATTTTCATGTAGGTGTCGAACATTTTCGAGAGCGAAATGTTAGTGTGAATGATAAATTATATATGTAATTATAAATTTTGATCAGTGAAAACGTATTATGACTGCGAAAAAAACTGTGATTCGTGTACATATTCGTGAAGAATTTCTTCTTTATTTGAATAAGCAATATCAAATTTCAATTGGAATTTCAATTGGATACAATTATTCTGAAGAAGATTGGAGAAATGTGATCAATTATTAAAAACATGAGTTTATAATTACTCGCACTGATGCCTCTTTCTTTAAATTTCATATTTTTTATGTAACGTGTCACTATCTTCTGTACTGTATCGCTAATCCTTTTTCTCACCACTTCAACGTATTATTAAGAGAAACTAATTGCCCATGTTTTATTTTTCTGCGTTGATAAAAACACTAATAAAAGCATTACGGTAATAAAAATCCTTCGCGACACTTAACAGCTTATACGGTTCTAAAAATACCTCTTCCATTAAAATGTTTTGACATTCACATTCACCAGTATGTCAATGAACTCGAGGTTTCTAACCTATATTTTCGTTCCCATAATTTTTTCCACGTTCGATATAAATCGTACTAACATACTAACGTACCATACAGCGCGCTATGCAATTAAATCAAAAACAAAGTTAATAATAATTTAATGTAAATAATAATTAATAATAATAAAACTAAAACAAAGTATTATCATATTGAAGTAACAGAATCCTCGGTATTGAAGGGAACTTCGTTTACATTACGATACACTTTACGACAAATGTTCATTAAAAAAAAGTTAGCAAACGTATGCACAGGACAAATTGTATAATGAAAGTAATAATCTGTATTGGAAATTATTTTTCTAGCATTAAGCCTGGTAGTATCGCGAAAACAAGCAGAAGGTGAAAGGAAAGTTTCTTGTCTAGAAGCATGTATTGTCGTTTTTATGTGAAATTGTTATCGTTATCGCAAAAAAACTCAGCTATTTGTACAATTCAGAGCAGCTAGGTAGCGCGTAAGAAAGTATAGTAGGTCAAATAGATTTTCGAAGTGTATTACCGTAGGGTTTGTGTGTACTACCGATACGAGAACACGGGCAACCCATTAAAACGAACACAGGAAACGACTTTTGGCCCAGATTAGTCCCCGGGGATTTGCATGTTACAGCCCACTCGAATAACGCGACAGTATATTATGTACGTGAAATAAAACGTTCATATTTTTAGTCCACACCGACAAAGTGTTTTACCGACGTATTCTTTCTTTTCTTTCTTTTTCAAGAGAAAGCAAAAAATTTTATTGTCAATTATTTGACAAGTTGACAAGTGTAAGAAGAAGAAAAAGGTATATCTCGATATGAGAAAGAGAAAAAAATACGTCATTCATAAGTTGCACGCGACGTATTTATCTTGAATTTTCTACCTTTCAGTGTCAATATGAGACGCACTGTTCATCAAAAAATATACTCGTTCTAATAACCAAACAACTGTTTCTATCAATGTTCACACTGCTGTAAATATTTCATCAACTCTATTCAATCTCTCGAACGTTTCCCAGTGTATCTATTGTCGATATAATAGAAGCGAGCGTTTACAAAAATGAGTCTACTATGAAATTCTATAATTAAACACTGAATAATTTTGAATAAAATTCAAAAATATTGCGTCCTGTATTTTTGCCTTTTGAAAATTGGAGCCTTAACTCTTTCGCTGCAGCAAGTTTTAGGCGAAATTTTTTAATATTTTGAAAATTTTCAATTAAATATGAAAAGGCTTAAATTAAGGGAAAGTGTGCGAAGAAATTTTCACAACACGTATAGACGCCAAGGGCACGGTGCGAGAAAATATTGAAAGCCGCCTATAGGCGCCAAGGACAGTGAGGGAAAATATTCGAAGCGCCTATAGGTGCCAACAGCAGTGAAAAGGTTAAGTTAGTGTTAAATGAATCTACTGTAAAATTCTGTAATGTTTGAAATTCTGAATAATCCCTTGTCTCCACTACTTATTTTATTTATTTCTTCCGTGATAGAGCTTAAACCGGTGGAAAAATATCGAAGAAAAATCATATCTTGAATGTATCGTAAGACTAAAAAGCTCAATAGGTTTAATTTAATTTTGAAACCCCGATATAACTGAAAAAAAAATTATGTTCTCGAATAATTTTACCTATCCAACATGGAAGTCTTAAGACTTCATTAACTTGAGCGAAGCGAAACTCATCTTTGCTTGGATCACCCAAAATCCAAATTATCAAATCTTCATTGCACCACGTGAACACGTGACTGAGAAAAATGAACGAATTTTGCACAGAAATGAAAAAGAAGACAAACCACAGATCCGACATATTTCACTATTCCGCGTCTGCGTGCCATTAATGTTATGACAATTAACTGTGACGTGGTTCAGCAACATATAGATTACAGCGGGACCTGCGGCCGGCTTTAGAATACTTTCGAGTCTCGAGTGTCATAATAATAACGAGCGTCTGGCTCGTAGTCGGGAAACCGCACAGCCTGATAACATCTTTCTCGTTCTGCTTCCTCAAAACCATTTGTCGAATTGCGAGCAGGAGGAATGAGGCGTGCATAAATTCGTCCGAAAGTTGAAATTCACGCCACGATCGGCGCGAGTCGTCGTCCGCTTTCACGAACGATTGCTTGCAGCGTATAAAATCGTCTTGGTGATTCGTGAAACTTTTACGCCGCAAAAGAAAGACAGACGTAAATGGGATTTTTAGACGCGTCAGATATTCAGGCATGATCGTGAATGTGTTTCATGGGGGAATTTCTAATCGGATGTACCAGCCTGTTTCGTCTTCAGATATACGTAAATCACTCGCGTTTTATTCGATACTCTGGAATATTAAGTTAACAATATCCGATGTTTAAAGAGGAACGTTTTAATCCGTCTCGCGTGTTTCACTGGAGAGAGCGCGGAATTCGATTGTTAGCAAGGTTGAAAAAATTTGAGACGAAAATTGTTGAATAATTTCTACGAATGCCTTCTAAATAACTAAAAACTTGTTGACTGAAAATCAATTAAAATTCACCGATGAAAAATCGTAATTTAATAATGTTTAACAATCGAAAGTGGAAATTCATATATAGAGCACCTTTTAATTTTCTATAATTATTCTTGCAAAATTTTTCGTGAAAACGTAAAATTATTTTTATGAAAATGTAAAATTTTTAACGATTTTAGAATGTTAAACGAACTCCTCATGTAACAAAATACATTTAAATTGATATAAGAACGAAAAAATGTATTACTTAATAAATTATTCGGTAGCTTAAAAGAAAACACTTCTAAGCAACTGAACATCTACATATATTGCGGTAAAGAATCGAATGTGGTGATGTTTCTGAAGATAAAAGGCAATTCTAGAAGCAAGCGGATGTGACATTTTTCGATTCGCTGTTCCGTGTACACATAATGGTTAACTCGTTGATTATGTCGTATTTTTATCAGCGTGGCGTTATCTCTAGCGATATTAATTAAACCTGAAAATAATTCGTTTAATGAAGAAAGTT